GAATAATAATAAATAAATAATAATTGTAAAAAGAGTGTGTGTGATGATGAGTGTATTTATTCGGTATGTAAATTAAAATATCTCCTACATTAATTACTTTTTATAGAAAACCTTGGCCTACATCTGCTAACATATTTAAAGAACATTTAATTTAAACTATAAAGAAAAAAAAAGGATAAAAAATAACCCATTACCTCGAAATCCCTTACAAAAATGGCCTTGGAAAAAAAGATCTCACATGTTACCTTCAAACTATGTAACTTGGTTGTTAATAAAATTATTTTCATGTTCAAATTAAAATATCTGTATTTACGTACAACACATGTAACAAGTTTGTAAATCTACATATATATATATATTAATAAACGTGTAAACACAAAAACGTTTGTTAGTTGTATGATTAATTAAGAAGAAACAATCGATAACAGGGATGGTTTTTGCTCAATTTTCTACGTGTAAAAACTGGCATCAATTCATTCATCGGTTACAGCTTTTTCTAGCGGATTCAAAATGCAATAGACGAGTGAAGGGTGGGTTAATACATAGATAACGGAATATACATACACATACATACACATGCGCACACAACACGAGAGAAAAAGCGGCCGACTGAGAGACAAAAGCCACGAGAGAGAAAGAGAGTAAAAGAGAGAGAGAGAGAGAGCTTGATAAAGAACCAAGTTTAAAGGTAGAGATATATCAACGTGTTGTGCAAGTATGTTCTTAGTATACGTATACATAAAAATACATATACAAAAACACACACCCACCCAACTATACGCACACGCACACGCACGTAACCGGTTAGATTAAAGGGGGTTAATTATGCAGAACGGTGAAAACCGTGGGCGGTTTACAGTAAGCCAATTTATGCGGATACTCTACATAGTGAACAAGAGGGGAAACGGGAGGAGGAGAAGAAGGAGAAAGAGGGAAGAGGGAAACAGAGGGGTGGTGGGCTAGCTATGTTGCTCTATGGTTAACTTGAAAAAATGTTCAAATCGATTTAACGGGTATAATGAAAATGGAAAGTTAACGAGTACCGCGAACTTATGTTCAACAACTAGACCATGTGATTTCTAACTGTATAGTTATCTAACGTAAAGGTTAAAGGATCTTTCATTGGAAATATTCCGATGAAAAATTATTTACTAATTGTATCATCGATATAAATATTAACTTCAAGTTTGTTGTTCAAGTTGATACACATCTGTTTATTTTGTCCGATGCATTTTATCCGATCGATTCTTTGACGATTTTGTTAAACCCATCGTCGTCGTCGTCGTTGTCGTCTTATTTTGTATCGAATTAGAGAAACAAACGTGGCAAAAGGAAGATAAAATGATGAAATTAAATGAACGAACCTTGGTGTAAATCCTTGAGTTTGCCTTTGACCGCGTCTCTTGCTGCTACCACGACCTGGCTTTATATTCGTAGCTTCGGCGAGTTGCAGCAAGCGGCTGCGATGCTGTCGCAACAACGGGTCCTCCCGACGATTCATTCTATCCTGCGCATCTGTATTCTTCTGCTTCCTGCATTCTACGAATAATATAAATCATTTTGATATACATATATGCGATAACGTATATAAAACAACCCTTATAATTACAATTTTTTTATCCTTTTTATTTTTTTACTTTTTTTCCACCAATCTCAAACCCTCTAACCCCTTCTTACCCAATTGGTCTTACCCATGACTCATAAGAAAGGATTTTAATTAATTTTTGGGCTTTTTTCTTTTCCCCCCCCCCCCATTTATATCTATCTTTTGAAAATGATTTAAGAATTGTGTGAAAATATTTATTGTGTGAACAGATTATTATTATTATAATTATTAATACGTAGAATTATTTTTTTCAATGATAACAAATGATAATACCACGAGAAAATATGGCTTCTATGTTTGCTTATTTTGTCGATAATCATTTAATTATTCGTCTTTTCAAAATCATTATACAAAATAAAAAAGGTTTCGTTGAATTAATTATTATTATTATTACGTAAAATTATTACGAGAACGATAATGGGGCCAATTACCGTCAACGATATACGAGAAAATATGATTTTATTTCTTTCCTTTTGTTCTAATGGTTTTTATATACTAAAATACGAAAATATTATGTTACTAATTGAAAAATTAACATTATTTTACAATAAACGTTCGATTAATTTTGCCCATTTTTAAATATCATCGAAATGTTCAAAACCTTATCGAGAATATATACCCCGCATCAATTGTGAAAGAAATAAAGTTGCAATGAGAAAATCGTTTGAAGTATTATACTACTATTACTAAGATAAGAAACGTCATACCGATCTATGTATTAATCGGATAAAAAGATCTGACTTGACGCTTCTAAAACTATGTCCTTGATTTATCTCCTTCACTTTGAAGTCACCTAACCGAAAAGCTCTTTCTCCCCTTTTGTTACACTAGTTCAAGCAGTTTCGTATCGACGTTATTTCCGCTCTTTGCTCGTACTGAAGAACCACCTCCACCTCCACCTCCTCCTCCTCATCCTCCTCTTTCCTTTCTGTTTCACGGTCGAAACGATTTGCCTTCGTTTAAGTTAAAGAGAAAGAAAAAGATAGAAACTGACATAGAGAGAGAGAGAGAGAGAGAGATCTCAGTATCTTTGCAATCTCCGTAGATAAAATTTGCAGTAAACTACGTTGCTCTTGCTGTTCAACTCATATTCATAAAGTACCGTGTCTAACTTGTTCGGTGTCAAAGTGGAATTAAAAGGGAGCTTTCTCGCCGCAGGCTTCTCTCTCTCTCTCTCTCTCTTCTATTTTTTTTCTATTACAAACACATACGAACACTCTCACGCTTTCTATCCTTTTTTTTTTTCCCCTTTCTTTTTTCCGTATCGTTGCAAATTAAATCTAAACACAATTTGTTAAAACAAGATTAAAATAATAGTATTTATTTTAAGTTGTTTTATTTTTTTTTTTTTTTACGTGTTTTAAATCCAATATTTGTTGTATAAATACGAACCCTTTCACTATTTCTCTCTTACATTCACACTCACATTTTATCTATCTATCTATCTATCTATCTATCTCTTTCTTTTTCTTTGACTGTATCGTTGCAAAGTTAATCCAAACGTGATTTGTTAAAACAAGATTTAAATAATAATAATTCATTTTAGGTTTCTTTTTTTCTGTTCTTTCTTTTTGTTTTTTTTTTACACGTTCTAAGTTCAATATCGAATAAAATGAATTCAGTTTTATTTAAACATGTATGTTTTCCTTTTAAATTCATTCAATAAAATCAATATTAATAACTCGTAAGCAAAAGCATTGGTTGAGTGGTTTATTTTGAAAAATGTATAAGTTCATTTGTAACGATGAATAATTGAAATAATTTATTTTTTGGTCGTTGTTAATTTATAATTTTTAATTAAGGTCGAGTTATAATCGAAACAGCCAAGGTGAAAATCCATTTTTCTGTCCAGTTTTTCTTATATCGTTTAGTTTCGTGTATTTCTAATCGATGATTATTAAAAATAATATATAGAATCATTGATGCTAAACAAATCTCATTTTTCTTTAACAAAATTATATTAATTATTAAAATGAAACAACATATATTTATAATATTATATAAATATTTTACGAGATAATATTACCCCATTGGCAAATATTTCGTAATTCATTTAAAACGCAAATCTTGAAATATCTCAATATGGAAATAAACGTGATTATAATATTTTAAAGAAAACACAACTCACATTATGTAATAATAATAATATTAATAATAAATATAAAAATGTAATGAGATGTTATATATATATATCCAATTTTTAATCGAGAATAAGTTTTTCGTAAATTATCCTAATGTAAGTTACATTTAACTGATGACCTCATGAAAAACTCATTTGTTTCTCAGCTTGTGGGTTCCATATCGTGAACCTTAATCGATATAATACCTTGCAAGAGGTTCCCTTCGAATACCAAATTAAATTCGCTTAGTTATTAAATACAAAAAAAAAAAAAATACAAAAAAAATACGTAACACACTTACGAGTTTAATAAAATAATATATCTTTCGAAATAGAAGTTGGCAAAAATAAAATCAAAAAAAAGAAAAGCAACGTATCAAAGGAAGAACGAGAGAATTGCAAAGATATATTTCGAGACATGAAAAATACATTGGAATAAAAATGAATTCGCGGACAGGATTTTTCACAAATTTGTTTTTTTCCTAACTTTCCTGAAATAAACTGAATTATCGAGGATAATGGAAGAGGAAGGAAAACATATCAAACTTTTCTCATAATTCGTGAAAAATGTAAAATACGTAAATAGGGAATGATTTAAAACAACAATAAAACCAATAAGAATAAGAAAAAGAAAAAGAAAAATGATTTGAATTTTAAAATATAAAAAGACTTCCTTTCTTATCATCATCTACTTTTTTTCTTACTTCCTTTCCTTCGTTCAAACGATTACGTAAAAAGTGTACCTTTGTATTATAAAAAATAAATCGTTAAAAAATCTGACAAATTACAATAAAAGAATATCACATCGAAATTATTTAATGTTCAAAGTATGTTATATTAAATATGTAATACCTAAACCAGTACATATATGTTTAAACAATATGAAATATAAAAAGAGAGTGTGTTAGAGTATTAAAATAATAGTTAATTAATCAATAGAAGTGTCTATTGTTGCTTAATATCTCGGAGTATACGATTTATGTACTGTCCTCTTCGAAATTCGCTGTTGAACTAAGTCATTGTCCTATATAAAATTACTTTTATTAAATATTGTTTATATGCCCTTCCTATATAAAGTTGCGCATGTGTGTAACGAGAATTTTATTTGTAATTACTGCTTTAAAAATACATATTATATTTTCTTCGATGTTCTCTAAAATACATATACACACACACATTCTTACACACTTATATATGAAATACAGATATACATATATTCATACATGCACACAGGCACTTATGTATAAAACAGAAATATACATATATATATAGAAACATACTTATATAAGAGTAAATGTATAGTATATAGGAATAAAACTAGGTTGCAGAGACTGGCACATCTCTCACGTGGAACACGATTCGTTGTAGGTTTGTTCAGTACCTTGTATAATATAATGGAAGTATGGAAAGGAAAGGACGCATGTAACCCTCCGGCAAAAAAGTCATCATGGGCTTCGAATATCGTTTTGCCGATCGCAGGTAGCACGTAATAATTACATCAAAATTCGTGATAGAACGAGAAACACCACGTTAAAACTGGGTCGTATGACGAATGTTTTCCGTTAATATATATTTTATAATAGCTATGTACGTATATACGTATAAATAAATAATATGTTATCGTCAAAGCAACACACATGATATTACAAATCCGAATTGTAACGTTTCCAATGTTTGTTTTCACTGAAAATTTGTTTTCAACTGATACGTTGGGACGCGATTCTTGACGCGTGATTTCTACGTGAGAAGAATTATATAGTGACGTTATAGTTGATAAAACGGTGAGAGTAGTATGCCTTGCGGGAAATAAGGTGGTGTGAACGTATTCTCGAGTACCTCCTCTTCATTATCTCTCACTTTCTCTCTGTATCTTTCTATCTCTATCTATCTATCTTCTTCTCTCTTTCCAACACTTTCCATCTTTCTTTACCGACAGACAAGTTCTGTGTTAAGCGTTTTTTTTTTCTTTTTTACGAACCTTCCATTCTACTACGATTCAAACGACCCCGTTTCCCGTTCCAAATTTTATTTTTGCAACAAAGCTCCTTCTTTGATGCGCTAAAAAAAAAAAATGGAAAGAAGGAAAAGAAAAGAAAAGATAAGAAAAGAAAAGAAACAAAAACCTGTCAAACGTATCGGAGAAAAAAAATTATTTGTTTAAATAAAAAAATTCGCTCAACCTTTTTCGTACATTTATTGACGTTAACTTCAAAACTCTGCTAACGATTACGGTTCTAGATTTTTCTTTCTTTTTTTTTTTTTAAATACAAAAAAAGATATATGAAAAAAAAAAAAAAAAAAACAACGCGCACGTAAATAGATTAATTGAGCATGGGATTACAGAAACGAGATACAAAATGGAAACGACATTTTCATTCGTTCGACGCGTGTTTCGTTTCGCAAATCGTTACGGTCCGTGGTAAACCACTTCATAAATTACAAATTCTGATTGGGATTTACGAGGACAGGACGAGGTTTGCCATTTAAAGCGGACCACTGTCTGCTAACTTGGACTTTGCCATCGTTCGTTCGATGATTTACTATTTTTGTTTTGTTTATTGTTAGCCAAAGATAAGAAAAGAAATGAAAAGTGATGATATAATCTCCCATAACATTACAATAAAATGTTGAATAATTTTTTAATACAATAATATACTTATAGATATATTATTATTATTAATTGGGATATATATGACACCAAAATATTAATAAATAACAAAAAGAAAATTATTTTAATGCAGAACACACGAGGGTGAATTGTAAAATTACGAGTCTCAAAAAGAGAAACCAAAAGTAAAATAGAAAAAGAAAAAAGTAAATTTGACCTGAAATTGTAAAAAATTGTAAAAAAAGAAAACAAATACCAATGTTATGATACTTATTAGTAATATAAACAATTGGTATTATTTATTAACGAGTTAAATATTTTCTAAAAATAAAAAATGATGTCTACATCGTTGAGTATAATACATACATACATATGAATTGCAATCTCTCTGAGAAACACGTATGAGATACTTATTTACATGCATACATGTATGTGTAGAATGGAAATGAATATTAAGGGTGTAGTGTACGTGTTGCGTTTCGAATATACTGTATACAATATAATCTAGAAGATACTAGGGGACCAAGAAACGTTTCATTTCTAGCTTTAGTTTGTAACATCTTATGTTAGTGTAGAACGTATGGCCTCGAAGGAGGTCACGTAACGTTGATAACCCGAATCCAGATATGTCTGACATGTATTCCAGGATCATTGCCAATTCCCACGAGCATCTTGAGATCTCGACTGATCATGTGACAAGTAAAACAGTGGAAAAATCTAGCTCGTAAATAATAAATTTAGAAGGAAGGAAGGAAGGAAGGAAGGAAGGAAGGAAGGAAGGAAGGTAGGAAGAAAGGTAGGATGACTACTTTGCTTGTTAATTCTCCTCGTAACATTTAGAAAAGATTTAGTATATCTCGAGAGAGTTGTTTGATACAATTTATGGATAGAAAATTTATTATAACACCGGTAGTGTTAGCAATTAGTAGACGTGTATTTTGGTAGGGTGTTTGTTAAAATGTTAAAAAAAAAAAAAAGAACGAAAAAAAAAGAGAATAGAACAAAAATATTTTCTATTTAAAAACATCAGTACTGTGTTTTAATGTTTCGATGTTGAATAATATTATCAAGTGTTTTAGCGATGATAATATTTATATTCCCAAATTTTTTCTTTCGTTTTTATTTTCATTAAAAAGAAACAAAAAAAAAAAGTATTTTAAATGTTGCACACTGCGAAATGTATTTCGGTAATTAAAACGTTCTGCAAGTATTGTTTATTTGAAAGATAAAAGAGAGAAACAATATTTCATAGTTTAATATTTATTCCGACGCGAAATTTTCTAATATTTCTTTTCTCAATAGAACAATATTTACGGGAATATAAAATATTGATATTTTTGCTTTAGATTTATATATATATTCGTACTTTTTATTTAAATGTAAAATATTAATAATAATGTTGTTATATTTATTTATTAATTGAATTCACCAACTCTATCATAACAAAATTTTAATATTATTCATTGATATACTTAATATAATATGAAAAAAACATTTGTATATATTTTTTTTCTCTAATTTCCTCTATTATTTTTACGATAAACAAAAAAAAAACAAAAAAAGGGATAGCGAGAGATTACGTGGGTATCGTTTTATTCAACGTGAAATTTATTTTTAACGATGCTCTTACACATTCGAGTGTATCGATGTATTGATATATAAATATATATATATATATATATATATATACAGGGTGGAGTATTTAAAAGTGGAACATATAAATATCATCGTTATTTATGGTTTTGTGGGGGAAAAATCCCGAGGACACGAATGCGTTATTTCTACGAAGGGTTATCAAATAATAAATTGTTTTCGCTTTTCAATATTACCTTTTCGAAAGATTTCCAAGTAATTATTATCTCAATCCAAATTAAAATATATCTTTTACAACTAATAATTCTTCACCAATTAATGAATAAAAAAACTATTCGATTCTATCAAAAAAAAGAAGAAAAAAAAAAACGAGCGCCTCGATATTTCTTAAAACGGTGGACCTTTATAAAAAAAAAAAAAAAACAATAAAAGACTTATCTTATATACAACTTAACACACATTTTATCGAGAAAATTTGATTCGCAATAATATTTGTTCGATCGATCGATAATGTTATTTCAATTGGATAAAAATTACAAAGAAAAAACAAAAAGAACAGAAATATGTTTCTTGTATTATTATTTAAATATTTCCTCACCCCGTAGACACCATGATTTATCCACATAATAAATAACTAACAAGTATAATACTGTTCTAACCGATGAAAATCCTAACGATCATCATCTTACGATCCTTCATTTCGATAAATGAAAAAAGCTTGGACTATCCATATCGGGTTCTAGGGAATTTTATTTTATTTTATTTTTGTCGATAGAAAAAAAAAAAAAAGAGAAGAGAAGAAAAAGGTCGAGACGTTAGAAGTACAATAGCTTGGAAAGATGGTGTGCGATCTTGGAAGAGGACAACGGACAACGGCTTCTCTATTATCCTTTGGAATCCTTTCTCTTATGGTACCGTTCAGCAACGCGGAAAAAAGAAATGAGAGAGATAGATAGATAGAGAGAGAGAGAGAGAGAGAGAGAGAGAGAGAGAGAGAGCTTTTGACGGAATAAAAGCAACGGAAACTACGAGAATGAGACATGGACGAGGAGGCCTGCTGCAAGAAGAGCTTTTAGGGTAAGTAAGCTCTTACGGTGCTTGCACGGTTTACTTTTCTTTCTTATCAAACTCGACTCGATTTTTCTTTCCACGTATAAAGAATCGTTCACTTTAGTTCTCTTTTATAATATTGTATATATATATATATTTTTTTTTTCTTTTTATCTTTTTTTTTTTTTCAATAACATTTCTAACAGATATCCAAATATTTCACGTAATAGTATTAATTAATGTCAAATAAGTATTGTTTTTTTCTTTGTATTTCTTTAATTATAATACGTATTATTATTTTTAAATAATCGTACCTTTTTTTAAGGTTATAGAAATTGAATATTTAAAATGTTCTTTTACATTTATTACTATTATCATCATCATTGTCGTCATACGATGTCATAGCAGTAATAGTAGTAGTAATAGTTGTCGTTGTCATTATTATTAGTATCGTATATTATTTATCATTATTGGAATTGCACAATTGGGTCGATGTTACGATTGGTTGCACGGATTAGGTCGATCACAAGTCTCGGTGGTTCTCAACGAATTTCTCGGCCGTATACTGGCGGTCGGCATTTATTGCTAATTAATACCCGAAATGTTTTGCATATATTATAAAGGTGTTATTTCGATAAAATACCAACTAACGGAAAATGTTTCATTAATTTTATCGAATATCTAAAAGCACCGTTCGTTAACGAACAACCCAATGCGATATGTAAAGTTACCTGTAATTTTTCGATAACGATGGAATTTTCAAACCTAATTATATACCTTATAGAAAATTATTAACCTTGTATACAGTTTCGTAAGTTAATGTTACTTTTGAAAAATATATTATCAAGCTCTGAACATCATGAGACGATGTTGTTTTATTATTACCTGCGTAACAGAATATAAACGGGCTGGCTTGTTCAACGTTTTCGATCGTTTTATTTAAAACCGTTCCTGGCCCCTGTGTAACGGCAATTTGATTTACACGAGAGATTGGAAGCGTGCAAGAGAAATAGGCGCGTTCATTAGGTAAATATTTTATATTATTATTATTATATTACGTATTCTCTGTGATAATTATGACAATGGATTATACCATTTATTATTCTTATCGATATATTCAAACATTTCTTATTGTTCGCGTTATAAAACAAAACAATACTTTTTACATTTTATTGTAAGAAATGTTCAGTCTTTAACAACAACAAAATCTATTTCTAACGATTAAATTTGGATGAAATAGTCGCGTTGCGTATATTACTATAAATAATAAATAATATATTACAATTTTGCTCGCGCGTGTAACAATAAAACAAATATTTATATTTATAATATTGTCGTTATTAAATGAAACAAAAGAAAACGATGATAACCTCGATAACAACGTGCGGAAAATGTTTGATTAAAATTTGTAATTTGATTGATCAACGGGTGTTTAATGTTTCAACGTTTAATCTGCTAGATAAAAAGATATTTTCTTGTTAATATTGGAAGAATTTAATAATCACGTTCGATCATCAATATTCTCGAGAATTTGATATTTAAAGGACAAAGTTTCTTCGGTATAATAATTACCTACTGTTATTCACATCAGTGTGAATTATCAATATCATGTATTATCTCGCAAGGCTTTTGTATTCGATAACCCTACATAATAAATAAAGAAAGGAAGAACGGTGCTGAATCGACCTAGGATAACCTCAACAAGGTCAAATTAACAAGGAGACGGTCAGTGAGACCCACCTCGGATTTTTTTTAAATTTTGCACACACACTTGTAGTATATAAAATATTTACAGAAACTTTTCAAAAAAATATCAGAGATTGCAATGCTGTAAATTGTACAACATTGCCATATCTTTGAAATATGAATGAAAGAAAAAAAAGCAATTTTTCCAATTTATATTTTGCTTTGTTAATAGATAAAGTATAAAGAAGAGAAAATATTTATTAAAATTAAGAAAAAAATTGCACATTTTTCGAAGGGGTTCGTCGTACACGTGAGAAAATGATAAACTTAAGAAAAACAAAAAAAGAATGGGTAAAAAATTTCGGGGCAAGGTTTTACTGAATTCAACTTTAAGTTTACGCTTTATCACGAAAAAGTAGAAACTAGAGAAAGAGTCACGTGCGATGACTTCGTTAAATTTAATGACCACCGAAGAATCCTTCGGTAAGGAGCGACTAATTAATTACACGAGTGATATGACAAGATATACACAGAAACATCTACGTGTTTCTATTACATCGCATAAAAATACACACACAAACGGGTGCTTAAAATAATAACAAAAGTTATTTTTAACAAAATGAATATGAAATACATTTGTCAAGCATAAAGTGTGCCAAATGAAAATTAAACGAAATAATATTGCCAATTCTTGTCATACTTATTAAAAAACTATCATCAATCCGTTTGATCAATCTCAAATAAACCATCAATGATTCACCATTAATGTTAGTATCGAGAAATTGAATTTTTCAAATCGATTTATTTAAAAAAACATATTACGACAATTATTGTGTGCAAAAAAAAAAACAAAAAAAGAAAACAACGAAAAAGAATTTTGATTTTCCTTAATTTACCGTAACTACAATATAATATAGAAACTATACAAAAATTACGTACACTACGTACGAATTTATATGTTTAAATAATCACACACACGACTATGTGAGAAATATGAAAACATAAAAATACAAATAAAAATTAGGAAAGAGTGAATGGAAAAAACAAAAAAACAAAAAAATCGATCGAACTTTGGTGGGCCGCCCGTTCAAATATATATCTATATACGTACTTTAAAATGTTTTTTTTTTTTATTTTTTTTCCCTGATAAAATGTAAGTACCTTACCAATGGAACGAGCAAAGTATGTATTCTATTCCCAGAACGGGTAAAGTTTCTCTCTGCTCGAACAAAGGGAAGAACAATAATAATGTGTGTTGTGTAATGATGTTTCATTGACTCTACCTTGTGCAAACATGGTAGAAGAGACGAATAAGAGAAGCGGACGCAAATGGAAGCTCTGTTGGTATAAGCTTTAATAGCTAACGATCACGAGGAGAGAAGAACGAGCTAAGGGATCCATCCGAAGGGATCTTTAATAAGAACCATGGCTCTTGTTGACGTGTTAAAAAT